AATCAAATGAATTTTGTTGCCGACATGGTTTTACCGCTATAAATGCGATGTTTCAAAATTTAGTTATTTTCTGCAAAACTTGTTAGTTAAATTAGTTACAAAAGACGATGACGTGGCAATCCGGGTTCACGAAACTCGGGGCGTTACAAGTGCATCTGCATTGTGGTTGAAGTTGGAGCAATTTTACATGACAAAGAGCTTGACCAGTAAGCTACACTTGAAACAACGCTTGTATTCTCATCGGATGTCTGAAGGTATGTCATTAGATGATCACTTAACTATGTTCAAAAAAATTGTGTCCTAATAGGGATTGGTTTTCTACATATGAAGAAGTTTCGAGAAGTGCTGTGATTTTGGGAAACAACGCGCTTTGCAAGATTGCTGGAGTTGGTACAGTCAGAATAAGGATGTTTGAAGGAGTTGTCAGAACACTATCAGATGTAACCAGAAGTGAAGCGGAATCTCATATCCNATGTTCGATGAAGTTGTCAGAACACTTACAAATGTAAGACATATCCCAGAACTGAAACGGAATCTCATATCTTTGAGTACACTTGACTCAAAGGACTACAAATACATCGATGAACGTAGAGTTTTGAAGGTGAGCAATGGTGCTTTTGTTGTCATGAAGGGGCTTAAAAACTCTATACAGCTGTACAATTTGCACGGGTTCCACAGTGATTGGGGATGCAGTAGTTTCTGCTTCTTCTTTGACGGATGATGAAGTTACAAAAAATTAGCATATGAGGCTCGGGTATATGAGTGAGAATAGGATGGCGGAGCTGAGTGGGCAGAAGACCAGCAAAATTGAAATTAGTGAGCATTGTGTTTTTGGGAAACAGAAGAGAGTCGGATTCACTAANTCAGATTCACTAAAGGAAGACACAGCAGAAGGGAACACTTGAATATATCCATTCAAATCTTTGGGAACCAGCGAGGTTACCATCTAAAGGTAGCTATTATTACTTGTTGACAGTAATTGATGACTTCTCCAGGAAAGTTTGGGTATTCTTCTTAAAGCAGAAGAGTGATGTGTTTGGAACCTTCAAAGAGTGGAAAACATTGGTAGAAAAGCCGATCGAAAAGCAAGTGAAATGTCTACATACTGTACCATCCTTTTCTGAATAAAAATTCGAAAGGAATGAAGGACAACGAGTGAAAAGTCCTCAATCTTCAGGTATTAGGTGTTATTCGATTGACACTGTCGAAGAATGTTAGTCACAACGTGGTGACAAGAAAATCATGGTATATTTAAATAAGATACTATCCGATCTGTATGAGATGACATCTTCATGTAACAAGGCACATTTGATGAAAAATTATTTAATTTAAAGATAGTTGAAGGTGCTCCAACAGTACAACATCTTAATAAAATTAATACAATTATCAATCAAGATTAAATTTGATGACTAGGTCTGTGCCCTAATCCTATTGGTATCACTACCAATTAGTTGTGAGCCTCGGAGAGCTGTGGTTAGTAACTCTATAGGCAATGCGAAACTAAAATTCATTGACGTTCATGATACTATTATTAATGAAGAAGTTTGCAGAAGAGATTTTGGAGAATTTTCAATATCAAGTTCTGCTCTTAATGTTGAGAATATGGGAATGGATTTTGAGAAAATTTCCAATAAAGGCAACAATGGGAAGTGGAGGAGTGTCTAAAGCAAACCAGGCTTGGAAAGAATTTGGAATACTAGAATTGTGGCAAGACTGACCACATGAAGAAGAATTGCAGAGTACTAAAGAAGAATAAAGAAAAGAATAACGATAATGCAAATGTAGTGACTGAAGAGGTACAAAATATTTTATTTTGTCAATTTATAGTCCTATTTAGAGGGTGTTTGGTGTGATTAAAATTAGATTTTTAGTGGATTGTAATAGAAATTTTTGAAGTGTGTGGTTGAAAAGCTGTGAGACCCATGAAAGATGTGATTAATATTGAATGTTTGACTTTGACTTGAATTGAAATCAGATTTTAATCCAGACCAAACATGAGCTTAATTATTGGGTGATGGATTCATGAGCTTCTTTTTTTTCATAACACTGCACATCATGATTATGGAAAATTATATTGTTGGGAATTATGAAAATGTACATCTTCCTTATAGAGAACCTATGGATATTGTAGGTATTTGTGATGTCAATTTGAGGATATCAAATGGGCCAGTATGAAAATTCATAAGGTGAAGCATGTGTCTAACTTGATGTGTATTCTGATCTCAGTTGGAAAACTTGATGATGAAGTTCATAATGTGACCGCGGTGTTGGTACTTGGAAAGTTACTAAGGAAGCCATGGTTGTTGCTTGAGGAAATGAGCTAAAACGCTTTACATCTCTTCCAATTGT